TAGTGCTATTAGATTTGCTCTTAATGCTAAACTCAAAAAATCGCCACTTGAAGCTCATCATGGCCGGGAGGCAAATACTGTCCTTCGGAACCTTACAAAGAAGCCGTCGTTGCAAAACCTAAACTGGAACAGGGTATTGAAACAAAAGTCTGCCTGTTTAGATTCTGATGACCCGCGGGCGCTCAAATTTCCGCAACCAATGGCAACTGATTGGGAAGATCGATCAGACGTAGACTATGACGTCGAGCATATAAATCACCCCAGGAGTCGTGCAAATGATCAGTTGGTTTCGGTTTCGGTTGCTGATCGCGGCTCGGCGCCGGTGGTTGGATTCAAATGCTCCGTGGGAGTGAAATTGCGAAACGTAGATGCACAAACGCCATATCGTCCTAACAAGCGGACGGAGCTCTTGTTTCAGCGCAAATAAGATACCAATAAATGGTATAGACCTTTAAAACAAAAAATAGTTAGCTAATCTCAACATACCTTAACGTTAGCTAATGGCTCTGTGCTTAGGAAAAATGGGGTCGCGGGGAAAACGCTGAATCCAAATGCACCAAAACTCTTGGAGCATTTATCTCCAAACCCTCCAACGATGAATGCGGTTAAACGAAGGGCCGATCTGAAGCGAACAGAGGAAGAAAAAGCTGCAGGTGCGAATGCGAGGAAGATTATACGAGCTGGGACGCGCGCTAAATCACAAATTTGGGATAACGAGGACGATTCTGATTCGGCTTCTGAGTGCGAGCCATTGCAAATTTCGCGATATGCCGGACAGACAACGAGGGATGAACTGGGAGCTGAACCCAGTCATGGTGACATATCGAATACGCCGCTGGCGAAGGAAAACACCAAAGGCGAGGCGGAAACATCCGGCGGAGGCGGTGCGAAACCATCTCAAGGAGACGATACAACGAATAAACAACCAGAGACTAGTATCGGAAAGGAGGGTAGCGTCCCTAATGTAAGCGGCGATGCTCAATCGGGAAAGTTACCGAAAAAGAAGGGGGAGCGTGTAAGACGACAACGATTAGTGTCATATTCAAGTCAGGAGTCTCAGGACTCAGATGGGGTGGGGTCGAAAAAGAGTTCTAGGAAACGAGCTACAATTACCAAATTCGGAGGCGTAATGATCGATAGTATTTTCAAATCTCACAGTAACAAGGGGGAAGAGGAGACAGGGAACGTGAAACGAATTAGGAAGATGAAACCAGCCATGATTGGAAACAAGAACTTTGATTAAAAACTCAAAACTATGTCCAGGGAGAGGGCGGACCACTGTAGGTCTAAAACTCAAAACTTTGGTTTATTGGTTACAATTTTAAATTACGACTAAAAATGTTATTTGAGGGAATGTCAAATATATATTATCAGTTCATTCAGTCTATATATATATTGAGTCCGCTCAGGCGCCATTGGTGCTAGCCAAGTCCTTGGTGCAGTTTTAATTAGTACCTGCCAGTGGTGGTTGCGTACATTTGATATCTGAAACAGTCGAAGTACCATTGAGTGTATAGTTCAGTTATCCTTTACGTTGGAAATTAAAGTATTGAATTCTGCGTTGTTTCACACTAACTTGCTTGCAAAAACTGAAGTTACCGAAGAAAGTTGTTCAATGTTTCAAACGATTGAATAGTTGGCTAGAAAACAGATTTTAGAGTGGAGAAAAACTAATTGGAAAACAACTTGAAAAAATTAGACTTTAAAGCATCTCAATTGAAAACATGGAAGTACGTTTGAAAGGTTCATCCGATAGAACAATTTGTGCAAGTTTCAGTGATAACGTTTGAGCTATCAGAATGATGCTAAGAAACTGAAGTTTCCATCACTTAAGTAGCTAGCTAGAATTTCTTGTTATGGACAAATAGTTGAAAGAATAGAATAGGTCTGGCCAGAAGAATTGAAACTAATCAGTTTTCCATCGTTTCAGTTGCGTCATTGAAAATTTGTATTCAAGCAAATTTCGGTTCTTAAGCACTAAACGGCCCAAAATCAGAATTTCTACATCGTAAACTGGCAATTATGCGATCGAATTTGATTGGGTAATTTTAGCCAATCAAATTCAAGGTAGACGGTCAGGCATTCCGATCAACCTTTCCCGCAGATAAAAATATTAGCCGAAGTATCCGAAAAGATGGAACTTAAAAGATGTAAAATAATCAAATTAATTTTGAGTTACTTGTGAAACCTTGCCCAGACAAGAAAAACTTAATAAAATGGCTCGACAAAACAAAAATTTTATCTGCTTGAAATGGCAGTATTTTCCATTTGAAATGACAGAAAATGTCGAAGGAACTTGATTGCTAATTAGCCAATCAAATTCAACCACATCAATTTTAGGTTAAGAGATGTATAAATAATGATTTTGGGCCGTTTAGTGGATAAGACCTAAAGTTTCTACAGCATGATAAAACCAACTGAAATTAGTTCAACGCCTTAGAACTTAATTTGATTGCTGCGTTGTCGTGAAAATGATTCATTTTTCATAAAAAAACTTTACTTTTGCATTTTTTGCGCAGCTCGGTTAAAATTTTTCAAGAACGAAGTAGCAAAAACCTACATTGCTTTGAAAAGCACAAAAAAAATTAAAATTGAATTCATAGAAGGTTTCATTGTTTGGTTAGCTTGCTTAAGAACTTGCACATTTGGTATTCGCAAAAACTGCAAGTTTTTGATACTGAAATTGCTAAAATAGTTGAACACTTTCAAAACTCCGGTTTGATAGTGTTCTACATTTTTTATGCGGGAATGCATTTTCATGCTGTTCATTACACAAATCAATGTTCTAAGTCAATTTTCTTTAGTAATACGGTAAATTTTGAACAAATCTAAGCTATACTCAAAGTTAGCTTATGAAAAATCCGTTTTCCCTCCCCCCTAAGTCCATATCCCCCTAAATGGGGGGGGGTATTTGTACGGTTGATCTGATCAATTTAGTTCGCTTGGCATTCTTTTCCAGCTTTCGAGTTGAGTCCAAAATAATCAAAAAATTTTCCTTGAATAACTAAATAGATCAATTTGAAACTTTAGGCAAAACTATTGAAGCTTTTAAGTTGAATTTGTGTTCATTCAAAAAATCAGTGTTTGGTTGTACTTTGGTTAAAAAGCTTGAGTTATCAAAATAAGTGTGAAAATTTCAAATTTTACTTGATTGAATGATTTTTTTTCAATGTATGATTTTTAACTATTGAATTTTTGAAAATGAAATTCGGTCGAGTACAACGGGCGCTTCGAAAATTAAACGTATTCTTAATCATTTCAATTTTGAAAATAACGCGGAATTTTTTCGAGCAATGAGTTCGAGTAACATTGAAACATTTGGCAAAAATTTCAAATTGGGTTGGTGCCCAGTTTGGATTTTTTATGTCTCTTGAATCCAGAGACAAGTCTTTACGAAAAATTAAGAACAAAAGAAGAACAAAGAGAGCGTCCTTGTCGCTGAAAGTGACGACAATTCACAACATACACAGTCTGACCTAGTAGTGAATGAAATTGAGCATGACACGATGTAGTTTTGTATTCTAATTAGCACGCAAAATAAACTTAAACTATTGGTGAGACAATTCAAGCTGATGTTTGAAGATTGAAGAATTCAAAATGTCATCAATTGTATAGTTGAGTGGTTAAAATTGCAGCTTTCGGCAGAAAAAAAATCAATCTATTGAAAAATTTTGAAGAAATTCAAACTTCTGTTTTTGAGTAGTCTTCTTCTGTAGCTCAATTCAAAATAATTTAACGTAGAAAGATTTAAAAAGACAACGGTGCCTGTGTTGACAAAATGCTTTTCATACTACGCAAAAAATTGCTTATCATCTCATTTCATACTGACCAAAAAACAGTATGAAAATAGCATGACAAGAATTTTTCCATAGCAAGAAAACCTAGAACAAGCATTCTTTGCCTTATCGCAATTGAATGGCAAGCTTTTTCCCATACTTTTTATCACAAAAAGTTTTTGAAAAAAGCAAAATCAATTTTTTTTTACAAAAAATTGTATGACAAGCTATTTTTTTCATACTATGAAATTGTATGATAATAGTTTTTTCCATTGATAAAAATACAAAAATTTTTGTCTGAAAATTCTTTGTTTCATCCAAAACACACTAAGTAAGGATTTTCTGTCATAAGAAAACCAAGAGTGTTACTGGCAGTTGCCACGCAGATACACTGCATTTGATGATATTAGCCATATAAGTTATTGTTAACATTTTCACACAGAATTATAATCAAAAACCACTTTTTTTGTGTATGGCTGGATAAATTGTTTTTGTATATGGCTGGGTAAATATCGGTGGTTAATGAAAAAGGTCTGTTTTTTTACGAATTTAGGTTTATCTTAGCATATGAAAACAAAAAACAATACCTGTCTTTATAAAAAACACTTGCTTATAATTTTTGGAGTTTTTGGGTGAAAAACTCAAACTGGGATACGTCATAGACACAAAAAGTCAAATTTTGCTTGCAACATTTTTTTGCGTAAAATGTATATTCGAGCACAGAAGCAAGTTTGCAACCAGAAAAAAAAACGATAAAAAACTTCACTTAAAATTTGTTTTTTTTTCTAACGAGAAATGCATACCATACAATTTTCATATATGAAGTTGTATGATGAACAATTTTTTTTATTCAAAAAAAAATTGGATGCCAAAGTTGCTCTCATATAAGTAACCAATTTATTTTGTCACCTTAAGCTGTCACCTTTTAAACCGTGTTAAGATAATTTACGAAAAAATTTTTTTTGATTGAATAAAGCTTGTCTTACAATTTTTTTCCAAAGACTCCTATACTAAATTTTATGATAGGACTTTTTCTTGTCTTGGGATGTGGGAGCCGTTTTATGACATCTTTTTCTGCGAACATCAAGCCTATTTTTTCTAAGAGCGAAAATGCATTTCTTTTAGTGTTTAGCTCGATTTGCAAAATTGCACAACTTTTTGATCTACACTGGCGCGAAAGTATTTAAAAACGTTTTTTGTATAATAAAAAACATTTGGTTTCAGAAACCGTTCTGTCCACCGCCGGATCTAATTGGAGAGCATCCCTACCACGTGAGCAGTTTGAAACCGACCAAAGTGGAAATATGTGTGACTCTGTCTCACTTGCCGATGGACAGCGAGAGCAGACGGACATTCCACACCAAGACTCAAGTAGTCAGCTTACTCACCAGGAACTCACACAACAGCCAATTCTGCAAAATATCTAGGGACACTGAACGGCTGATCATAGGCAGGCTCAAGGTCTCCTCTTTCTAACCTCCCACCTCTTTCAAATGATCTTTTTCCAGTTAAACTAAGACAATTTAGCAACAAGCCAAATCCTAATACCTAAGAGATGTTCAGCTCATGACGGAATATCACTGTGGCATCCTTAAAAAACTCGATATTTTATCGCAAAAAAGTTTGCTTATGTTAATAATTTCGTGAACAATAGTCACATTTGTTCAGATTTTCTGATCATGTTACTTTTATGGTTCCTCCCTAATCCGAATTTGTCGCCATGGCGCTATCTGCCAATCGTCCGATCCTTTTCTCTCTTTTGCACGCTGATTCTCGAGCCAAAACACAGTTTCAACAAAACAGAATCAGTTTTAATTCACGTAACGAAAAAAAAGTTTTTTTTTAAATACAAAATCATAACATGAACAAATTGAAAAACTTCCCCACCATTTTTGCTATCAACATGATAAATTTCAATCATATTCCAAACCAATTATCGTTTTCCAGGACGGTTTCACTTTTTGCTAAATGGCTTTAAGACTTAACTCAATTAGCGAAGAGGTGGCATGTTAAAAAGAGTCGTATAGAATCTGAAGATGCAAGCGAGGAAGAGGTGTCAGGAAAGGGCAGAGTTGAGAAAGATGGACGAAGCCAGGCAGAACTTTGCTAAGGTGTTGGGAAACACGAAACCCATCAGAAAACTGTGAGTATTCGGCGAGTGATTGTACATTTGTTCCGACATCAGTAATTTTGTGCATGTCATACCGCTACTGCAGTAGCAGTATTTATTATACGTATGTACATCTAACCTCTGGTGCTCAATCATTATTTTATGGTATTCTCAAGGTCATACGTAAGTGTTGACACTGAGATTAAGCGAGAGATCAGATTAAGCGAGAGATCTATCTCTCAGTACATAAGAAACCAAGAAAAGAGAAAATCTAAATTCAATATTCAGAATACAGTATTGAATTACAACTTGTTTTCAATTGATATCGCAACGCATATCACATGGCGCAGCCAGCAGGATTCGCAGCTCAAGACAACATAACGGATATGGGAATTCCGGTATTTTGGGCATCAGCGAATCTAGACCCTCCGTGGCGATTCAAAATTTGGTTCGAACAATTTCTCATGGCGGTTACGGTCAAAGAAAATGTGAACCCAGAGATTATTTTGGAAGAACCAAAAGACATATTAGAGGAACCACCACCACGCCCGGAAACGCCCAGGGAAGGGGAGAACGAAGATGCGAGAAACGCTAGGATTCTTAGAGATAAATTAGCAAGCGACAGAGTAGTATTGGAGAACGAAGAAAGAAAAACAAGAGGCCCACGAGTCGGACACAATGTCTTCTACAACGAAGTACAAAAGAAACTGGTGTCACGATTATTTCTATCTTTGGGCACAGAGGGAAAGAAGAGATTCCTACAAAAGAATCCGCACGCAGAAATATCGAAAATGACGTTCAGAGAAATAACAGAGTTGGCAGAAGTCTCATTTCAAAAGGTAAAATGTGTAACATACGAAAGATACAAGTTATTTACGAGAATGCAAGAATCTGGAGAATCTCTAGAATCATTCCACGCAGCATTAACTGCTCAAGCTGCTCGTTCAGAACTGGGGACATTGGAAAATGAAATAGTGCGAGACTTGTTCATCTCGAAAATGAAAAACATGACATTGCAGGACACGTTGACATTCGAAACTCTGAATCCAGAGGAAGTTCTAAAAAGGGCTATAAAATTCGAACATAGCAAGTTAACCACAATGGCATTTCAAAAGACTAATGCTGCGGCTACAGGAGGATCAAGTAGCAATTACACATCGGGTGTGAGAATAAAACAGGAACCTGTAAGGGCAGTTCAATATTTGGGGGGGAAAACCAAAACTCCAAATAGAAGAGAAACAAATAACAGACAGAATAATAACAAAACTCAAAACACGAAAACAAAACCATGTAATAGATGTGGAAGGACGTTTGAACAGGGACATCTAAAAAATTGTCCAGCCATGGGGAAGAATTGTAAACACTGTGGTAAACCAAATCACTTCGCCAAAATGTGCAGATCCCAACAAGTAAGTGAAGTTGCGGAAGATTCGGAAGGATCGGTAGAGGAATGCGACCAGATCAGTGAAGGTGTTGGGTCATGTAGTGAATTTGAAGTTATGTCAATACAAACCTACCAACCGGAAAATGAGCGAGTTTCAAAATATGTGAAAGATCGAATCAACGAAATGAGAAACAACACAAACGGAAAAGTGATACGAGTTCAGAAAATAGATTCTATTCGCGATCCAACATTGAATCGCGTAAAATCACTAAAAGCCATGGTACGAATAGATAACCAGATAATTCAATTGACAGTGGACACTGGAAGTCCTGTTTCATTTCTTAACTGGGCCACGACAAAGGAAATCATGGAAAAATCAAACAAAGTGAGATTCATACCGTCCGACAAATTGAACTTACAAACCAAATTCGTGGATTACAACAAACAACCGATCAGTATCCTGGGAGCCCTGAAAACCAATCTGAGGTCAGCGGGCTGGGAGGTAAAGGGCGCAACCTTTCTGGTATCAGAACGAAAAACTAGATACATCATGGGATTAGATCTGCAAGGACAAGTGGGAATAGTGACTACACAAAGACCGGCGCCAAAAGAACTCACCAGGTTTGACGTGCTCATGTGCGAGCAGTCAGAAGGTTGGAAAGAAAAATTTTTCACTAAATTTAAAAACTTATTTGAAAGGCAAGGCATTTCAAAAAATCACATTGCCAGTTCAAAATTCAAATACCCACTATGTCCGATTCAAGAAAAGGGGAGAAGAATCCCAATTCACATACAAGATAAAGTCGAAAAAGAAATCGAGAAGTTATTGACAGAAGGTCATATAACAAAACTTGATAAATGTACAAGTGATTGCTTTATCGCCCTGATTGTGATAACAGTAAAGAAGGACGACTCAATAAAATTGGCAATGGATGCAAAACCAATCAATAGACAATTGTTCAAAAACAAATACCAAATGCCGAATGTAGATGAACTTATTGATGGGGTAAGCCAGATTGTAACTGAAAACAAAAAGGGTACGCTATATTTTTCGGTGTTAGATTTGAAATATGCGTACAGTCAACTAAAATTGGCTGCTGATACAGCTAGACAATGCAATTTTAACATTGTGGGTGGAAAAGCAACTGGAACTTACAGATTCTTGACAGGGTTCTACGGTCTAGCAGATATGCCAGCTGAATTTCAAAAGGCTATGGATAGAACCATCAATCACGCTAAAAACACGTTCTGTTTTCTGGATGACATACTTATTGTGTCAAAGGGAAGTGAAATCGAACATGCAAACTTAGTAGAAGCAGTACTAAAGAAATTGGATGCGGAAAACTTGGCACTGAAACTCTTAAACTTTTAAACAAGAAGTGAATTGGTTGGGTCACCATCTCTCAGAAGAAGGGGTTAGACCGAAAATCACTAAAACGGAAGCCGTAGTAAACTTGAACCAGCCGAAATCCCTAAAACAACTAAGGTCATTTCTAGGAAGCATAAATCACTTAGCTAAATTTATACCTAACGTAGCCAGTCTGACTGAAAAATTAAGACTACTTCTTAAAGAAGAAAATCAAAAGAAAAAGTTAAAAAACATGAAACTCCCGGTGAAAAAATTCGAGTGGGGGGATGTTCACACAGTAGCATTTAATGCTATAAAAGGAGCTGTGGCAAATATTACGAAAGTGCATTATTACGATGCAAATCGTGAAACACTAGTTAAATGCGATGCTAGCCATGATGGGCTAGGGGCTACTTTAGAACAACAAAATGATGAAGGGTTGTGGGCCCCAATTTCGTTCGCATCCCGATACTTAAATGCCCAAGAAAAAAAATATTCAACAAATGAGTTGGAATTATTGGCAGTTGTTTGGGCAGTAGATAGATATAAACACTACCTTCTGGGGAAACCATTTACCATCGCAACTGACCACAAAGCGCTTACAACAGCATTGGATGTTAATCAATCGAACAAGACCTACCAATCACGTTTAACCCGGTGGGTTGACCGGTTACTGCCATATCAGTTCAACATAGTTCACATTCCGGGGAGGGACATGGGCATAGTTGATTATTTATCGCGTGATCCTTTCAATGATCCCTGGCCCGAATCAGAATTAGACGAAAAGTTTGTAGTAGCGACAATAAACTCTTTTCATGAAGCGTTCGACTGCTGGAACAGTAGGCTTAAAGACTCAAGGTCGCTCAACCGGAACGAAAACGTTCTAGAATGTTCTAGAAGGAATGTTACGAAACAGTCATCAAGTAATGGTTGCTATAGCAACCAAAACGGTCAAAACCGAACAAGGCTCGACCGGAACGAGAGAAAACAGTTTCCACGACTGCAAAAACAGCTAAACACAACAGTTCAACAGAAACAAATCACTTTTTCGTCAAATCAACCCACTAAACAGTCAGTCTTAAATAATTGCAAAATCAAAAAACGACCAGTAACGAGCAAAATAGAAAAAACAGACTCAAGGATCGAGATGTCAGAAAATAAAAACAGAGCATACGACTGGTGGTCGAACTCACCACAAGAATGGCGGAATGAGGAGCGCGAAGAAAGCATAATGGACCCAAAGTGGAACCGATCACTTTCCACCAATAACGAACTCTCGGAAGAGGAGGAGATCACAGAGACAGTCCAACGCACGAGAAAAATAATACGAGGAGGCAGAAAAAATAGGGACAGCTCCGACAGCGAAACACGTCATGCACAACGAGTAAAATGGTCGTTGGAACCGGAACAACAACGAGTAGCGGATCAAAGACTGCTCTCATTCTGGCAGTTAATAGGCGGAGAAAACAATGTTCAGGAAAATCGAGAACTGGTGGCTCATACCCAAGAAGTCAGGGACAACTTGGAACACGAATCAAGTTCAACATTGCCAAAACCGAGCGCATCGACGGAACGAAAACTCAGTGAGGTGAATGCAATAGAAGTAGACCTGACAACCACAGAAGAGGCGGAGAGTGAGGAGGAAGTGTGCTCAATTCAACCGCCAAAGGGACTAGGAAAAACAGGACTGCAAAAGCAGCAACAAGTGGAGACCCTGGACAACCTCGCAAAACTGTTCGAAAAAAACTTACTAGCAGAACTGACCACAGAAGACACGTGGATGGACCGCCTCAGGAGAGTGGTAGAGAGAGGGGATAAACAAGGATTCGAATTGATGGGACCCTATACAAATCCGTTGTGGTCACAGATGGCAGTTCAGGACGACTGCATCTTGGTGAATAATCGGCTAGCAGTACCAGTTCAACTACGACAAGCTGTCCTGAAACGAATCCATCGAGGACACCCAGGTCAGGAGGCTATGTTGGGAGCAGCGCAATATCTGTGGTGGCCACATATGAATAAGGACATCGTGAATTTGGCAGAGGAGTGTCGTAGTTGTACCAGATATGGTAAGAATGTAAAATACCTTATTTCGAAAAATTCGTCAAAACCATTGCCACTGCTCACGCAGCCGGGACAGGAGGTACAACTAGACTACGCGGGGCCTATAGATAATCGAAAAAAAAATCTATCTTTTAGTAGCTATTGATCGATTCTCAAAATTTCCATCAGTGAAGGTTACAAAATCCACAAGTGGAAAGAGCACAGTAAAATTCTTGAGATCATATATCGACACACATGGAGTCCCTGAATCAATTCGATCGGACCAATTTTCAGGATTTAAGGGAAGAACGTTAAAAAAATTCTGTTCGGAACTCAATATCGAGCAAAAATTCTGTCCGGTGGGGGATCACAGAGGTTGTGGTTTGGTTGAACGTACAATTCAAACAATAAAAAGAAGACTGGGAGTGATGATGCTCGATGAAAATAATAAATCAATCAAATTATGCCTCAGCATTATAATGAGAGACTTACGGTGGAACAAGCAGAAAACAATTCAAGTATCTCCGTTCCAAGCACATTTCGGCAGACTACCAAAAACAGATTTTAAAATTGTGAGGGATAAATTTTTAAATAATTCTGATTCTTTAGACAAACAACACTTGGAACGCTCAGCACTGACTGCTTCTCAAATGAAACGAAGAATTGATCAGTCGAGAGAGAATCTAAAGATAGTGCGAAAGGGACAACTGAGCAGGGATACAAGCCCACTGCACAAGCAGCAGATAACATCGGACAGAGACAAAGAAAGAGCCAAAGCCCTAAAGGAATTGTTGGAAGCGAACGCCCGCTGGAACTACGAAAGAAGGGACGCGGCTAAAAATGACATCCGGAAATTAGTGGACGAGACAGGGCAACTCAATCCCGATCTCCGAAAGGAAATGATCTACTCTTGGGAGAAGGGATTTGTGGAGGACAAAATAGAAAACCAATGCAAGTCACCAACCAAGACTATACTTCGAAAGGACCCTCTACGGAAAAGCGGACAAGCCTTAACCAGACCACTAAAGGGATAAAAAATTGTTTCAGAAACGGACTCAACAATTAGGACATCAGCCGGTTCGATCTATAGGAAATCGGATATAGCTCAATCAAAAACGGTACTGACGCAAGAAAACCAGCGAAGCACGAGTAAAAGTCCATCGTCAGAACCTACCAAAAAGTTTAAGCGAGTCAGCTCTCCAGAACGACTAGAGGAGCTGGGATCAGAGGACGAACTTCAAGGAGAAATGGAAATCGCTGATACAATGAATCCAATAGAGCGCTTTCAGAGGAGCCAAACAATAGTCACTTCAAAGGACACAGAAGCCGGGGGAGGCCTGAATCTTGCAGTCAAAAGAGCAAAACCCAATTTGGCGGGACCAAAACCAAATACAGAGGAAAATATCACAAACAAGCCGGAAAAGAGCGGAAAGGAAAAGAAAGGCCGAAGCAAGAAACAACAGGGGACAAATCAAGCTGCGACTGCAGCAAACTCGGAGCAAGAGCAAGCAACATCTAAGCCGGAATCAAACACAGTAGATACCAAAATTCAGTCAAGTTCTACGCCGAAAGCAAAACAGCGTCCGAAACTGAAATGCATTGACTCTCACACTCCTCTTGAAGATATCGTGGACACATTTCACAATCGAAATTTGGCACCGTCTGAATGGGAGAAGTATGCGGACCAATTGTTAAAAAGAGGAGTGCAGCGAGTTGCGGATGAAATTCGAGAAAATCCTCAACAAAGCTCGGAACTGGACACAAACTTCGAACCACCACAAGGATTCTCGGACGAATCAAGTGCAGAAGAGTCAGGTATTAGACGAAGTTCGAGACAAACAAAAAACAAAGAACCCAAACGATTCGGAGATCCGATAAAACATTCAATCAAAGAAATATCTGAAAACCTTACAGGTAGAGGTCTTCTAAAGGAGGCACTTAGACAATACAGAAACCAACTGAGAGATTTTAAAGATCGGGACGACAGACCATTAGAATCGAAAGTGCGACGACTCGAAAGACATCTATTTATGCGAAAATTCGGATATGCTACCTTGGATGAGGGAGTCGATTGGAACCCGAGTTGGGAAATCGAGCTGGAGGAAAACTGAAAAATACATAATCTAAAATCGTCAATTACCAGAAAAAACTTTTCTTTGAACTGAGTAAATTGAACTTTTTAAATAAATTATCCTACTGATGTTGTATAATTTATTTCTTTCACCGTGGGGGGTGTGTCATACCGCTACTGCAGTAGCAGTATTTATTATACGTATGTACATCTAACCTCTGGTGCTCAATCATTATTTTATGGTATTCTCAAGGTCATACGTAAGTGTTGACACTGAGATTAAGCGAGAGATCAGAGTACTTAACAATGATCTATCTCTCAGTACATAAGAAACCAAGAAAAGAGAAAATCTAAATTCAATATTCAGAATACAGTATTGAATTACAACTTGTTTTCAATTGATATCGCAACGCATATCACAGTGCATAACAACGTAAAAGAATCCACTTTAATTCTAAGTCCCAACGCCAGCCACTGGCTGCACTTTTTTTATCAGCTGACTGTAACGTTGACCTTGACAACCATACGACGCTACCTTATATCATAAAAGTATAAGCAAAGCTTGTTCTAGGATCATAGTATTAAAACAAGTGTTTGAAAAGTACTTTCTTTAAAATTTAAAGTGTTCAGTTTTTAAAGTTTTCAGTTTTTCAGTCTAACCAGCTTTTTTTAAATTCACTGTTCTCTGAATCTGCTGCAATGCCTTTGCAAATTTTCAGCTTTTTTTATCAACAACGTAATAGGTCTCTTCTCTTAGTTTTGAAAATAGCAATCAGTTTTGGAAAAAAGTTAACTTTTTGTTAGAACCCGAAAAGAGACGACACGACTGATGTTGCGTAGCGAGCGAGAGATGACGTCATTTTCGTGGAACGACTCCACAGACCAGACATTCGATGCCATGCTAAGGCGTCCGAGGAGCTGCAAACATCTGAGTCACTACATAGACCTCTCTGAGACGGTGGAACAGTTGCACTCCAGTGGGATGAAAGTGAATCGAAGTCAGATTGCAGACCTAGAGTCGCTTATCAACCAGAGTGGTCCAGTTTTACTGGATAGCTATAAGACGAGAAGAGAGGCTGAACGGTTTCGACCAATCAGAGTTCGAAAGTCAGATACGAGCGGTGAAAGTGTCTCATCAGAAACATAACTGTTCTTTTGGAAAATTCAAGGACTGTTGTAACTTCAAACTTGAACTTGTTTAACCGGCAACCTTTTCACTAAATCTCCACATCTTAGCTTAGTTTCATGATAAGCTTTTGACTAAGAGTGTTACTTGAGACTAAAAAATGACAGCTTGAAAAATCCTCAGAAAAAAAAATATTTCAAAACCCAATACTGGTTGTAAACTGAGATCGTGGTCCAGGATTGAGCATAAATTTTTCCATTATGTTTTCGCTTTCAACAAACCGACTGCTGGCTAATTCATACTCGGGGTGTTTTCCGATCGAGTACCTTCTCAATACTAGCAAGTTCTTTTTCCAGCTCACAAACCACGCAAACATGAAGGTTACAATCACGATTCCCGCTTGAAGGAGGCAGCTATTGTAGAAGCCATAGAGATCCAGAAAAAAGCCACCGGTCACTAGAGGCCCGAACTTGCGACCGATTGCGAAACACGCGTTGAGCCACGAGGTCGCCACTAGTTTCACGTTCTGGTTGTCCTTAAAACCAATATCGAAAGCCAACATCTCGAAAATGATTGAGGCAGGCACAAAGGATCCAGAGATGGCTAGACCCTGAGCTGCAAGCCAAAAAGTGAGCCAGTGTTTGTGTTGCACGAGTGGGAAAGTATCTGGCGTCCAGAGCATAGTGAAGCTCAAAGCGGATATAAAAATACTAGTCAAATAAATGTATCCAGCGTAACCACGCTCAATTAACGGAGCCAAAGTAAGTATAGCCAAAGCATAGGTAATAGCGAAAGGTAAGAAATAGTAGCCGGAAAAACTGCCTCCGATAGAAAAGTAGTCTTCCAGATAAGGGCCAACGGCCACTTCAAAAAAGCCGAAGCTCATGGATTGCATGAATAAAGGAATGCTTGCACAGAGAACGTAGGGCCTGGTTATGTAATAGAAAAAGTTCAGCCCAGGGTCTTTTTCGGAAATACTTTTCTTGTTCAAACTCAGGTTCAGGTTTTTCTTGTGTTTGTTTTTAATTGGGTTTGGAATGTAGAATATGCAAGTTATTGTGAGTAAAAGTTGAATAATCCCCAAAGATAAAAATGGAGTTAAGAAGCCACCGAAAGTATATAGAAAGGACCCAACGGGAGGCCCAAAAGCTATTCCGAGTCCAATGCAGCTCTCAGTCCAAGTTGTTATCGCTTCTGAATATTCAGGCACCAAAGGGACCATGATTAACACACCTGTGGACCATACCATGGAAGCACCGATGCCCATGACGAATCTGATGAAGAAACAAACTATGATGTAAGGAGACCCGCCGACACTGTGCTCCATACATCCGAACAGTATACTGCAAACAGCTGAGATAAAAGCACCATAGCAGAAAAATAATTTCTGAGTTTCGGCAGACATAAAACTAGCCAATAGGAAGGCTGCAAACATGTCGGATATGTCGAAGGCGCCTGTGATTAGACCAATCACAGTTGTCGAAACACCTTTGTCGTTTTGCGCATCATTTGGAAAATAGGGTGCTAATTGGGAGTAATTTATGCCTTGGAAAACATAGAGACTGAAGCCTAGAATTAACCCATAAAACTCATGCTTGTTCAATTCAAACATCATATTCAATACTATAAGTTAGTTGAAAGTAAACTGAAATCTAGCATTTCGTCTCATCCTTATTAGGTCGTCCCAATTATTTGATCAAAATGTCACTCTTTAAATAAACTCAAATGAAAGATTGAATTTGAAAATATCTGAAGTTCAAAAGTGCAAAATTAGGGATGAATTTATAAATTTAACATTTGTCCACAGATGAAACGTTTCTGGAACTCTTCAGTGTACATTTTTCAGTTTTAGAGCAGTCATTTTTAGGGAAGGTGGATAATTCGGAAGGCTGCCTTTCATACACACTGAATCAAGGCCAAAATGGAGGTCATCTGACGTTTACTAGGCGGTATGCTTTCAACGCGAAAAAATTTCATCCAAAAAATTATTTAGAGCGCCATGAATGCAAGAAAACCAACAGGATCTTCTTCCAAGGTAAGATGGGCTGATCAAAAAGGTTCTTTTCATATTGGTTCTAGGTTTTCAGACCCCTTGACAAGAGATTGGCGCATATTTAAGAAGTTGACGAGTAATGAGAATCAGCAAGAGTAGTATATGAGTGAGGAAAGCTGAGAGTGGAAATTTCAGATGATAAGCTTTAAAAAAAATCTTGGCGCCCGCATTTTTATGTTTTAAAATAGGGTATAGACTTATAAATGTAATTAAATTGACAACAAATTTCAATGTATTAAGATTTGGTATAGAGTCTGTAATGTTTTAAGATGCAATGTTTCATATCATGAAAAGGTGGTAAGAAAAATTAGTTTTTTTTTTGCGCAGAATTGCTTCTCTCATTATTGTAAAACATCAAAGAATATTATATGCAGAGTAAAAATGGACACCCAAATTGTATATAAATGGTATCATGATCAAATTTTTCCATAAACAGTTGAGTTTACTTTAATTTTTCCCTCAAAATTGGAATTACGATAAGATTTGGTCTAATTTGTGCTTGGCAGTGAGTTTATATAGTGTACTGACTATCTAAATCAACGCTCAAATTTGCTATAACCATGCTAAATTTCTTTTTATAAGACTGGGCATTTGTCCTTAATTCTCCAGTTTACACCCTTGATATAATTGCTTGACCGTTTTTTTTTGTCAAGAAAACGGTAAACTTAATTAACAAAATCAATTCAATTGATAATTAAAACCACAAGAATTCTTAAAAAAAGTACGTGATTCGAATTTTCCTCGGTTTATTGTCAATGATTGGAAACAATACAAGCTCTGAGAAATTTCAAACTCTTGCTAACTTGACGATAACTTACTTTTTATCTAAGTGTTTAAGCGTTTATCATAATTAACAAGGTGTTTAAAAACGGAAAATATTTAAAAAAGGAAATTTCAGAGGCAGTTTTTAAAAAATACATCTTATATTTGACAAAAGTCACTCAATTTTGGTAGTATTACACACAAGCTAGAGACAGGCTAATTAGAATGTGATTATATTTCTTCTAAACTATCTTCATTACTGTTCATAACATCTCTTTTGCTTTTTCAACACCATTTAACATAATTTTTTTCAGAAAATTCTTAGATTTTTAAAATATTTCTGTTTTCTGATTTATGTAGCTTTTTTGCTGCTTAACTCATTTTGTTTGAAAAATTAGTCAGAAATAAGAGGGAGAGTAGTATCTAGAGGGAAAACAATATCAATTGAACGAACATTTTGCTGGCAGAGAAAAAACTAGAACCGCAAACGTCTGAATTTTACTTTACGTTTTGTACATGTTTAGATTCAGCAGAAAATTGTTCCATTGCAACGGTAATTTTTTAAAGCAATTTTACAGTTTTTCTGACCAATAACCACTAACTTTCTTGTAAAATATAACTAAAGCCTTTTTATTATTGATTTTTTATCCGAAATTTCAAAAAAAGGTTATGTGAGAGAGATTTGGAGCCCTTTACGGCATTCGGAAAAGAATACATAAGCACATGGTCGAAGTGAGAAAAGATAGAAAAAGTTTTGCTAAAAAATTAGGTGAAAAAAAAACAAGAACAAGTTTGTTGATTGTCATCTGAAAACCATCGATACTTTTTTTTCTACAGTAGAAGTTTCTTGTAGTTTATTCTATTACCAATTTTAGAAAATTTGTAAATTTGTACCTATCCTAAAACATAGGAAACTGGCCCGCCGAAATTTTTTCGAAACTGTTTGTCTGATTTTTGGTATAACACAACTTTAAACATGGCAAAACCTATAACCTATAAAATACCTGGGAATTTTTTCCCTTTCTTAATACATAGCTTGGAGACCGGTTTTATTCCCTGACTTAATGTATGAGGGTCTCCATCCACCCTCTCGCCCTCCTCAGCTCTCCTCACTCATATACTACTCATATTAGCAAGACTGGAAGTTTAGTTTGTTTCATCAGCGTCATATGGATCTGACTGGGAAAACAAAGCAGGACTTTATATGAGACTTGATCAGCTATTGGAGAAGACAAGGAAGCTGTACGCATCACTGGCAAAAAAAACGGAAGAAACTGTCATCCACACTAGCCGCCGGATATACCAGTTTGCCGAATGTTTCATGCAATATCCCGAGCGGTGGAACAATTGAGCGTTATAACAAGTGGAGAGATAGAGCCATACAGATAGGACACCAGCCACAATGGAGCGACTAGCGAGTGCGCAGTTTTTAGATTTTCCATAGAAAAGAAAAAGCTAGGAACATCAACGGAGAAAATACGGTGGCCAAAATAATCATATTGGAGAGCATCAAAGCTAAGGAGATCAAAGAACTTGCCGCGGCATTCGCAGCATCATCAAACGAGGCATTTCCAGAGCGCACTGGGAAAGCAAAGCCGACTATGAAAAACCAATTGAGGCCCAGTAGAGATGATATTTTTTCGCAAATGTCAATCTCATCAAATTGGTCTTCCGGAAAATCAAAGAAACAAACGCAGTTCTGTGAAAAACATTGATAACTTGTGAATCTACAAAAGGAGCCAGTCTTGCCGGAAGAAAAATCTATCTACTTCTTTGGAGTCAACGCCATCGTCACTCAGAGGTATGAAGAGACCAAGATTCGCGTTAAAGAAACCCGTCCAAGTAAAAAAAATAAGATCTAATTAAATTCAAAACTTTTAAACTCTTAGTTTGTTTCCTGATTATTGTTGAAATTACAAACTGCATTGACATTTTTTCTGGAAAGGGAAATGTGTTGCAAGTGATTTGTCTACCAATTATTAAAACCAAACCTTTGCAACGTATGGTGTTCACGTAATCGCTATTAAGCATGTTATATGCAGACAGACACCTGCTAATTGTGTTTTTTTTTCAGTAACGGTGCTAAATCGAATACTCTCTCGACCATAATTGAAAAATTATAAATGCTCACTCTTTTCATGATAATTCGATTTTTATAAATTTATTCGATAGTGTAGTTTTAATCAAGTCTAGACAATTTTTAAGGAGATACCACATCCCAGAATAACACCGATAGCCAGGTCCGTTTAAAAAGATTGTAAGTTCAAAATGATTTTTGGGTATCGTTGAAGTACTACAACGTATAAAAAATGTATAAAAATGTATATATAAAAATGTATAAAAACAAACTTGTTGGAGAACTAGCTTTTTCCTTCAACTCCTTGGCGACAAAACAAAAATTTCGTTGTGTGTTTTGATGAAAACATGGAAATCAATGAGTGATTTGTAATTGTCATTAACTTAGAGATTCTATTTTGATCTGAAATCGATTCAAAACACTGTGAATACTTCCTTTTGATTGGTTAATGTTAAAAAAGTTGTCTCGGTCTCGAGTGGAAAACTCGATTGTAATAGGCGGGTATCAAAATGAAAACAACTCATTCATACGTGAAGCTCGATTTTAATTCGGATAAAAAAAAGCAATATTGCCGATTGCACTACATAGCGAATGATAAAGAATCATCGAAGAACTCATTCTTTCTCATCATTTGGTACGGCTGAAATACCTGGAAACATCTTATGATCATCCAGAGATTTCAATGTAAAACCACTGCATGGGTCCTGATTGCAAACATAGAATACAAAGAAAGCCTCAAATAAAGACTTCTCACCCCTAATAGAGAGTTGTAAAACGCTATTCTTATGAAACTTTACCAGAAAAGGAAAACATCGCTAGAAGCAGCTGATTGCAATGTATTGCAAGTAGGAAATAGCTCTTGACTGAAGAATCAGGAAAGCAGTTTCTGGACATGAACAATATTTCTGCCAATTTTCCAATCTTTATTTAGGCGAAGAAGTTCACATGATGTAATTTCCAGGCACTAAAGGAAACAAAAAGAAGGTAAACGGAAACTAATTGTTTTTTTGCAGGCAAAACAATTTAGTGAGAGGAAGAATCTGACTGGCAGTTTTGTCATAAAAATTGAGAAAGACGCAAGCAAAGAATTACTGAACCCCACTGATACCGGCACTACTATTAATTTTGGAAGCTGCCCACCTAGTTTGTAACCGGAACCAGACATTTCTCTTCAAGGTGATACTGGCTTATTGTTTTTTTTCAAGCAGTTGGGGCCATTTTGTAACTTATTTCCTGTTAACTTCGAAATTAAGAAAGATAGGCTCTATAGCTATTGTTTCAAGGGCCAGAGACATTTTTTCGCGCTTTCCTACATAAATAGGGCGGATCCAACACGTGGTTCTCTTAGACCTTGAACTATAGAATAGTTGTTGCTCAAAAGCTACTACCCGCATCCAAGTTTAGGTGTAAGTAATCGATTATAACTGACTATTATGATAATTTTTGGACAATCATAATCGATTATATTTACCAAAACTACATGTTTAAAGAATTTATAATTGATTATAACTGTGATACTTTCCAAGAGATTGAAATCTCTGAAAATCGATTATAATTAATTATAGTTCATACAAAAACCAGTAAAATCAAATATAATCGATTATAATTGATTATAATCTCTTATTTTTCCAAAATTCTGGTATACCAAAAAATTTTTTGAATTATATCTTATGGGTTAATGATTTTGTGTCAAAAACAAAATCTCTAAAAAAGAGATTTTTTGTCACACTTTGGTTCATCTGAACAGAAAGTTTTACCACGCAACAAAAGTTTCATAGAGATCCTTTCATTTTAGTTGTCCCGCGGTAGGTGCAAAAAAACTTCCGAGTCAATCATGAAACTAAATCAATTTGCGGATATTTTGAAGGTTAAAAAAGCTGAAAATGTGCATCATAAAACAACTCAAATGGGGAAGAAAAACCCATAAATTTGAATCGATTTGAAAACTTTAAAAACAGATTTCTTATTTTTCACGGGAAAC